TTTATTTCGATTAACTATTCTACCTCTTTGTCACCCTAATTATAAAATACCTTTATATGGTATCTTATTATTGACTTATACAAAATAAATTAAAAAATAAACATATGTTTTTGCATGAGATTAAGTTTGTCTACATGTGTAGGTCAATAGAAAACAGAATCTGATGTGACATTATATAATAGATCTAAGATATGACAAGACAAACTTGTAAAAGGTTTGATTAAGTGGTAAATATGAAGTATGGTCCAACAAAATAGCTTGGGTTCATAAGAATGTGGACGAGAATTCAATTTATATCGTGTGGTCCATTCTTGATCGTTCTTTATGCTATATGTTCGATGAACATACCTCAAGGTACGTGATAATTTAGCTAATAGTTTATAAATGAATTTCGAGCATATATTTAATAATTTATGTTTTATGACTAACAATTGATATGATAAAAATGTTCGGTAATATTAGTAAAAAAAAAATAATAATAATAATTGAACGACAAGCTACCTAGTAAAGTTTATCAAATAATTTCATGTTTTTCTTTTTTAAAAAAATACTCGTGCGATCAAATAAAACGTATTTGAATACAGTAAACTTATATGCTGAACAAATAAATAATAACATAACTTATGATGATTACCAAGAAGATATAATCCATCAATATAATATATAAAATAATTTGTCAATCTATGTATTCATCTTACTTTTCTTTTCCTTTATTTATCAATAAATTTTTAAGGAACAACACTATTCACAAGTCACAACACACTTTTTATACATTTTTCTATCCATTTTCTCACACGTAGATAACTATTAGTGATTATTTTAAATTCTTAGGTCATATTAATTTTAATTATTACTCATTCTCTTTCAAAATAAGTGTTTTATATTTTTTTGTTCAGAATTAACCAACATAAGAAAAATTACTATACATAAATCAAATCTATTAATAATAATACTCCAATCATTTACCATAATTTTATTTTGATCCTAATTAATTAGTGATAAAGATAGAAAAAATTGGTAAACATTGTAAAACAGTATGAGATTTAACAGGAAACTAAAAAAAATGTCTAAAACAACAATTCATTTTAAGCATTATATCTCTACTCTATTCTATATCAAGTAGTACAATACTCGTGTACAATACAAGAATTGAGTTGAGAACTATATGATAAAAAAATATTTATATTTAATATCATACTTAACTCCAGAGCAAAAATAATATAAAAACAACATCACAAAGCATAGATTTTCGTCATGTCAGAATTTGAAATGTATGAATTTGTCACTTAAGCTCAAAACGTTTTTCATTAGTATATAAAGAGAGATAGCACTTTACAAAAAAAAAAAAATTCAAAATATTATTCAACCACACTCTCCCACAAAATAATTTTCCAAATGAAATCCTTTGCAAAGAGGCTTAAAAACACTTTTATCAGCCACTCATAGATATAGATATATATATATATGAACGTAGACAAATAAAAGAATGAGAGGCTTAAAAACACTTTTATAGGAGATCATGTTCAATATTATTGCATTCTCCTTCACTCGTTTTTGTTTCTTGCATAACAATGTGTCAACGAAAATGCCATAATGATCATATTTTGCAATTGTTAATAATAATAATAATAATAATAATAATAATAATAATAATAATAATAATAATAATAATAATAATAATAATAATAATAATAATAATAATCAAAAATATTTTAACAACCAAATGAGTAAAAACTAGAAATGTGTATTTATATTATACAATGTCATTTTTTTAGATATAATATTTTAAAAAAAAGAATTCTTATTTGTGAGAAAAATATGTCGATTTAATGGTGAAGTTGGCCTAATAAAAAACTTACTGATAATAAGAATAATAATAATGATAATAATAATAATGATAATACTAATAATGATAATAATAATAATAATAATAATAATAATAATAATAATAATAATAAAAAAAAAAATCTGACTCTAACTTCAAATAACAACAATCCATATAGTATACTTGATTTACCTAATTATTATTTTTTTTACCAATTATCATTACAAAAGTTTCAAATCACATATTATTAATTTATATTAGATATATAATGACTATTAACAAATTTAAATTATTAACCTATTTTGAAATAATAAGACTATTTTACCTAACAATGTGATAGTCAAACTTTTCAGTATATATATATATTTTAAATTAAAAGTAATATAAACAAAAGTAAATATAATATTTTAAACCATAAGTGTATGTACAAGAAGCATGACAAGTCAAGAATTTGTGATTTTGAAATTAACAAAAGCTCCACTTATTCAATTTCAAACCAACTATTGAAAAAAATGCTGTTAAATTGGTCAGTAAAATATGATATGAAGAGTTGCACAAATAACACGTAGCAAGACAAGAAAATAATTTGTTTATTTATTTCTATAATAAATATATGGGAAAATGCTAATGTCCGTACAGAATTATTCTATCGGAGTTTGTAACGTTAAATCAACTATCCCGACAATTAGCCGATGATACCCGACAGAATGGTAATTACCAACTATATGAGTCTTATCGTTTCTTCAGCAAAAAAATGTTTTTCCTTTTTTAATTTTTTCAGTACAAAATGTTTCCAAGAACGTAACTTTCCTCGCAAAAGCCCTCAAATGGGGTCGCACAGTAATGGCAGATGTCTTGAACTTCTTACAGCCGAAACCCTTTTGATTTTTCAGACAGCCTAAGACTTATCGAAGCAAAAAGACTCTGTCTTTTAAGGGTAAACGGAGAGCGTTTGGGGCTCTTTTTCAAGATTCAGTCTTTTCAAGTTGCAATCTTTTAGTGTTGAAAGGGAGATGCTGAAATTATGGGTAATTTTTCGCTGTATTTTCTGTTTAATGGGCTCTTTCTTAGCTTCTTCTGGCAGAGTAATCTTGATGACCGGCAAAGTTAACATATCTTTTGAAGACATTGAAGCTAATTTTGGTGAGTCTGGTTTTCTTACATTAACCTATTTTTTAGTGTTCTTGTCTGGGTTGATGCTTGATTGACTTGTGATGAAACTTGAATCTGATGTGGGCGGAGCTTTGGTACAAAATTATGGAGTATTAATGTACTATTTTTGGATCTCCCAAGTGTTGTTTCTTTACTTTGCTTGTCTGTTAATCTGTTTTTTTTTATGAAAAAATGTGGTCGATATGTTTCGCTTTTATCGGATTAATTGCTCGGTTGATTCGATTTTATCGTGTTTTTTGTTGGGGAAGAAGTAAAATTTAGCTGATGCAGAAATCCAAGATGGGCTTGGGCACTTTTTCTCATTTGTTCATTGTGGTTAAACTTAGCTGATGAAATGATGATAAAGTGGTCGTTCGTGTCGGAGTTGTTCGAGTCTCATTGCTCGATTTAGTGTTGCAGAATATGTCTTTGTGATCGCTGATCTGATGTTTCACTCGGGGATATAGGAGTTCTTGTTCGTCGCTGTTTTATAAATACCGGTTTTATGTCTGAAGCAAGTGTTTATATGCTCGGTCATTTAGTATTCTGATTAAAAAAAGAAACTCCTTTTTTCTTCAGCACCACCTATCAAGGAAACTGGAAAATACGGAACGTTGGATTTGGCCGAGCCTTTGGATGCGTGCTCACCGCTGACTAATAAAATAATTTCGAATACGAATAAATGGAGACATCACTTTGCGTTGATAGTCAGAGGAGGATGTAGCTTTGAGGACAAAGTTCGAATCGCGCAAGATGCAGGGTTCAAAGCAGCCATTGTTTATAACAATGATGGCAGCAATTTGGTTGCAAGTAAATATTCTTCACACTGCAAGCCACTTTATTATCTGCAGATCATATAAGTGTATATTTATATATATTGGCACCTGGCATATGATGATATAAAACCAACTTTATTTGCATAGGCAATTTCGCCTAGCTAGTGAATGTGACTAGTAAATACCTGTAGTAGACTAAGTCTTATAGATGATTTAAAAAAAAAAAATTAGATGGATACATATTCATCGTCGTTTTTATGCATACTCACACCTCGTTTTT